AAAAAAAAAGTAAGGGGATAAAGGAGAAGCCAAAACAGTTTCATCCTTATCATCGTCGTGGAAAATTGACTAACCGTAAATTGATCAACAACGATTACTACCCTATACACACGCATCTAACTAAATAACATAATAAATTATAATAAGAATAATATACGCAGGCACTGGTGTGCTGGTTTTCGAAGAATACATGCAAGGCACAATGAACTCTTTCTTGGACGCCTGTCAAAATTTCATGTATGCACGTTTTCGGAAGTCGATCCACTCATTCATGGCAAGCAGGTCGTACCTGCAATCTCTAAATTGATCGACTATCAGAGGTCTTGTTTTATTCGTTATTTTATTCGATTCTTCATGCATAAATCGAGCATTATAGGAGAGATCGATTACCTGGAATCCGTGTGTTCTAACGGACAAAGTTCATTCGTCTCCTTGAAGGTCATGGTTCCCATTACAAATAATGCATCCCATGGAAAGCCTAAATTCTCCGTTACGAGAGATGCTGACCAAATTTGGGAGAGCGAGAACCGAACTTGACCTAATCGACCACACGACCCTGTCAAAGAAGAACCTCACCGAAAACGGGTTCATCTTTGCTCAAGTCACCTACTGTACATGCATTTCACACATTGTGTAATTAATTTATGCGCGATGAATAATTCTGTGTTTGACCATACCAATGATCAATTCTTGTTTCAGAAAGAGAAATGGTTCTTCTTTGTTAGCCTTGAATGCAGTGTCCTTCTGATTCGAACTGAGAACGCCATAATCTGTCCCACGTTCGTTCTTCATTGATTATCTTTCGTGTTCTCTAAAAATATATTTATCCGACCTGCTGCGCGAATGATAAAGTAAAAATAAAGAGCAACATAAAAATAGAATTCAACGCAAGTTCGTCTCTGCGCTTGAATTCCAAAATCGGCTCTGTCTCAACGCACGCACAAAAAAAGTGCGTCCCTGACACAAGGACCGTCCGCGAAAACGGGAATCAATCACCCGCGTGTTAATAAAAGAATAAAATAAAAGAATAAATAAAAGAATAAAATAAAAGAATAAATAAAAGAATAAATAAAATAAAAATAAAATAAAAGAATAACAAAATAAAAATAAAATAAAAGAATAACAAAATAAAATAAAGTAAAATAGAAGAATAAAAATCATTCGTGAATTCCTGATGCATGACACATAACAAATTCACAAATTTTAAGGATCAAGGGATTTTTCGTTTGACGAAGCCTTGGTTACCCATTGAGCATCAAGATTTAACGACGCCCAATTGGTCAAGGATGGCTAACCAATTTTGGCCGTGGATGGCCAGCAAGCATACACGCAGCCAGGCAATGTTATTTCGATTTTACAAATTTGACCATCAATTCAACTCATACTTTTTACCAAATTTTTCACCACACGACCTTTTAGGCACACACATAAGCTCATTGGGCATATGTACGCACCGTCATAAATGGCATGCACCGAATGCGTATTGAAGATGCATGTACCAGAGGGCCGAACAGAGACACGACCTGCTGTTATTGATCAGTGACCTTTCTTTGGTGAATAAGAAGGATCGAACCCATCTCCTCTGTCAAACTCATTCCAAAGAGTTGAACATGACGACGGATCAAAATAGAACCAACCAATCGACCAATCAATAAATCGATCGATTGATCGTTTGGGTGAGCTCAAGTGCAATCAAGACGATTCATTATCGCAAGATGACAGAAGGGCCAACACGTAAAAGAATTCTTCTATCATCGCTCGCATTGTCTATGCGAAATTCGTCGTTCACAATGTTTTGCCACGCGGATAATTCAAACAGGTTACCTAACATGACAACAATAAATTGATCAATTCCTATTGGTTGGTCGTGATGACAATAGATTCGCCATAAACCCGGCTGACATTATGCATGCAAGTAAAATTGTAACATTCACTTTCCATGGAAGTTCTATGGGAACCAAATCGTCATAGGTGGAGAAAATGGTAAGTGTGTAGGAATTTGTGTTTACGCTTTGGTGCCGAATGGGAGGTGCAAGAATTAATCATGCAAAACAATGATGCGATAAGTTGACCTTGACAGAAATTCGTCAAAACATGTACATACAATATGTATACGTGGGCAGAATGGGTTTTATTCGATAGACTTCAACTTACACACACATGAATAACAACCATTTACAAACCATGTCTTTTTCTTATTCTCTCATTCATTCAACACAACCTTATTAATTACGATTCATTTACATTTCATAGTTGGCGTACACGCCATGTATGTATGTATAGAACATACATGTACGTTCTACTATATTCATCAATCTGCCAACACATCACCCTCATCTGAGGAATAAACAAATGTCCTGTTCGATCCTTGTGTCTTTTTTCTCATCATTTTTTTTACGCTCGCAACTTATCGCTGCGAGTGAATGCACGGAAGCCTTTTGATTGATTGTACTACGACAACTACGGAGAATGGGTCGAGTATTAGGGAAAAGGAGAAAGAAGGAAGAATGGAAGGAAGGAAGGAAGGAAAGAAGAAGGAAGAAAGGAAGGAAAGGTGAGATGATGTAAACCAACTTAAGACGGATGGTTATTCCACTGCGTTTCTGTCAATGTCGCTAATGCAATCATGATAGTTTGACGGCATACATTCTTAATTAAATTAATCGATGCAAGTGCGATTGGAAATCTTGTCTCGGTAATTTATCATTTAATGTTTATGAGGACATGGCATTACAGCTACAGCGCATAAACACACGATTCTGAGAATCAGGAAGTGAACGAGCAATGAGACCAG